TCATCTGAAATAATTGAGTTTTGGAAAAGAAAGGAAGAAGGTTCTTACAGAAAGACATTAGACAGACATACAAGAAAAGAAAAAGAAGATTTAAGCTCTCTCCATCTCACACAGTTACAAAATAAAGATGACAATAACGAGGAGGAATTTAGTACAAAATATGATGAATATAATATAGATGAAACTGATGAAGATGATAAAGGCGAATGTAATAAAGATGAAGATGATAAATACGAATATAATAAAGTTGAAGATGATAAAGACGAATATAATAAAGGCAATAAAGATGATGCCGATAGAGATGAAGCTGATAAAGATAAAGATGTTTTCTCCTCTATTGTAATGCATTGGTTAATAACCTCGTTCCAGATGAAGATGCAAAAATTGTGGAAAGACATGAACCAGACACTATAGGTCGGACCAAGCACTGGATTTTATCAACAGGGACTGATGTAGGCCAAGTTTTAACCACTTATAGAGATCAGATTCCTAAATCGCAAAAATGCATTAAGTTTTTTGAAAACATAAAACCAAGTTTGAATTTAAACACTGATTGCATCTTTAATAATGTTTATCTTTTGTTCTATTCAAAGTCCTATTTATTGGGGAATTCTCGATCTTACTGGATCTCATGTAGAAACTAGGCAACTCTTCACTACAGAAGATTGGAATGAGATGTTAAAAAGTTTTGAGGATGAAGTAGAAATTATTGAACATGATATACCTAATGTTATATATCTGCTTTTTGATGAAGTCGAACAGGTAATTAATAATAAATGATGTACATTACATTCATATTTGTCACATTTCATAATGTTATTTTCGTTTAGATAATAAAAGATAATGAGAAGAATGAAGCGATTGTATTGGCAATTGACAACATTTCGTTGCAAGAAATAGAATCAAAACACAAGATCATTCTTAGTGAACAAGACAAGGTCAACATGATTGAAGTAAAACGAGCGCTCTTAACATAGTAAGTAAAATATAGTGTAGACATTTTTTTGAGATGAATTTTTATAATTTTAATTTCTCTTTGGCCATGTTTTCACAGTGCTGAAAACTTGGCAAGTGTTGATCTGCCAGTTTCGGAGTCTGCATTTGATAATTTATTTACAAGCATGCTCACAAGAAGATTCCTTGATAATACCGAACTGAAAATGGACTCGTAAGTTGAAAAAATTTTGCAGTTGATAACTTTTTATTTATTAATCTTTTATATAAATACACATGTTTCTTAATCCTTCATATAAATACACATGTTTCTTTAGGGGGGGAGATTTGCTCCTGGGCTTCAGCTATACGCCGTAACAAAGGTCGTTCAATTACACTCCGTGCTCGTGTAGGGCAAAAATGTGACTTCCGAGGAACATTGAAGCATAGCATAAATAAATTGGAAGTGGTAACTGGCCTCCGAAGTGGTGGTCTTCCGGAACCACACCGTAAAAAAATTTTTTTGGACTCACTTGACTTGGCTATAACTATGAGGGATATTCTATATACATTTTTTGAATCTAATGCAAACTCCCCAGATGAAGACTTGCATAAATTATTTGTTCTCGGATTCCAATCATTGGGTAAGCAGATATCAGCTCCAGGGTATAGGATCGGTTTTCCACACATGGGATCAATTAGTAATTAAAATCAGGATCTGGTATAATGTAAGATATTTCAAACCAAATGTTTACTTGCAAAAATCATATTTATTTCAAAACTGTACTATTAAACTGCCAACAAAAAAAATTTCTCATGCAATTTTATTATAGAACACCACTTTCTAACCCTACATCTAAACTCTAACATAAATGTGTTTTTTTGTCTGAAATTAATCACGGAAAATCACGACAGAAAATCGATCCTATGTTCTGTTAATTTAATCCTTTATACAACCATCCCTCATTCAAATTAATTGCTTATATTATTTTGTTTTAAAGGTTGGACACATCAGGTCAATGCAATAGATTGTAAAGGGACAAACATTTGTAGATATGGAAAGTTGTGTACAACAGCATTGCCAAATTCAATAAGAACGCTTGCATGTTTAGAAAAGTTTTATATTGAAATGAAAAATATTAAGGTAATTTTTGAATTGTTACGTTACTGCTTTATAATTTGTATGATGCAATTCTCAATGCGATTATATAATAGACTACCATTCACTCTATATGCAATAAAGCAAACGATATTGCTTTGTCTCATGCCCGAGCACATAGGAAAAGGCGAAAAGGAGAAGACCAAGAACATGCAAATATTGAAGTTGGAGGCTGTTTTGGAAAAATTAATGGAACACCCATTTCAAAAAGTCACGAACATTAGAAGAATATGATTTACCAGTTTAACCTTTACTTTTTTATATGTATTTGCATTAAGCATTTAGCTTAATTAAAGTTTTTAACAGTAAGTTTTTAGGTCGCATTATTTTATAACATAACGTGCTTGAACTATAACTGTGTGATTGCCTCATCCAAATTTGACATATGGTCTATTGTTTATAGTCCATCCATGTCATAGGAGGGTGTTTAGCGTTGGATTGGTTTGATTACACTATTAAACTAATGCTTCAAAACATTTCCACATGGTCAAAACTTAAAGATGGTTGAGACCACGCTAATGGCAACCGGACCACATCACCAAGACTAAATTCTGCCTCTGCCGAAAAATCTCTTGGGGTTGTGCTTGGCAAGGTGGGCATGACATATAGTATGACATATTTGTCTACTCTCATGCACTCCTATACACTGACATATGTAGCTACTTGCCCACTGGAAGTGTGCCTATATACTGACATATGCGGCTAATTGCTCACTGGAAGTGTGCCAGTTCTGAAAGTTATAAATATTATGTAAAAAAAAAAATGCTATTTATATCACTTATATTTATTTATTTTATTTTATTCAATTTCTTGTAGAATATCTGAAATAAGCGCAGAATAAGTGTTCTTCACAAACGCGTGCTGACTTTCCTGAATCAAATGATGAAATTCTGTAATATTTTATGTTGTCCAATTAAATAAAAAGATTGAATTAAAGCTTACTGAAATCAGTAGAATTAGTGTGTTAAAATGTAGGCTGACGAATTATACCCAGATGAATATTGATAGACAACTGTTAATCTATAAAAATGTGGGGCTCATTGTGCGTAATTTATTTATAATTCTTAATAAACGTTAAAATACTTATAATTTTATCTTAATTATTCTAATCATTTTCTTCTACACAGGATAACAGGGCTAATTAGTGATTTGACCCGGGTGGGTGTCACCCGGGTGAAGATTTTTTAGGCGGGTCAATTCACTAGGACTAATAATGCATTTGCAAGTTATGGAATCCGCGCAAGTAGCCATATTCAACTTATCGTCATAATTTTCTATTTCGAAAAGGACGCTGTAAGGAATTTAGTATTTGGTTTATATTGGGGTCGTCCCGCCTCAGGAATATATTTTCTCGATGATACCTGTTTGATATATAAAGGTAATAATTTATGGACTATGAACATAAATTATATTCTGAAATATTATCATATATCTCGCATTCCGAAGATATCATTAATATTATACTATATTGTATATTACATTTTGACGTGTATCTGATAAAATTAAATTATCTTCACTGCCATAGGACACCATAAAATTAAAGAGAAACTCAATCAACTTCTTACGGTTACGAAGCTTTATTTAATACTAAGTTCATTTGGATCTTCGACAATTGGCAATTTTCATAATCCAAGTTTTGAATCGAAACCAGATAAACAGCTATGTAAATACAATATATATAGGGCTGACAATTCACAAGCTGTTTTAATGTGTCTTATCAATCGAGTATATTATGGTAAATTAATGGTGAAATTTTACGTTGTAAGGCTTCATTTTTATAGTAATTTTTTTTCTTTTTGAAATAGGTAGTTTATCGCAAGGGAACGTCATGTAACTGTGCCCCAATAATAGAAAATATCAAGGATATTAATGACGTGATTTATGTATAAATATTTTTTTTGTTTTATAAGAGAGTGCCATTCAGCGCCCTGGTATCGTCATAAGCTTACATCATAATTAATCAATAACGATAACGAACGGGAATTTAACATTGTCACAATCGAAAGAGATGAGGTATAAGCTTAATCTTGTATTCTTCAGAGTTTTCTCGATAATAACGAGAAATAACTGCGCTTCCACCTTGTTCCACTTTTTGCAAACTGTTCGCAGTGTGCAAAATTTATCAAAATTTTATATTATTTATAACAATTTTAACAGATAAATTGACAAAATTAATTTTATTTGCTGTACACTATATTCTTTCTTACCTTTTTGTAAATAAAAAAAATGATTTATATATGTTATAATTAATAAACGTTAATCGAATTGCTTACAATACAGTTGTATATGACGTCAATATTATTATCGTGAGAATAGTTATTTTTTAAGTTCTAGATTTAGCATCTCGTAACTGCAATTATAACTGTCCATTATATGTTCGATAAAGTGATTAACATTTGAGCAAATCGGATAGTTAGTTACAACACGTATCAAAATTGTAATACTGATGTAGAATAGTTCTATCTGATTATAAATGTCCATTATATGTTCGATGAAGTGATTAACATTTGAGCAAATCGGATAATTAGTTACAACACGTAGCAAAATTGTAATACTGATGTAGAATAGCTCTATCTGATTTAAAGACCCAGTGTGCATTAAATTTACGATAAGCATTAGGATTATTATGAAGAATTGTCTTACTAAGGTACGATTTCACGTGAAAATTTTTGTTAGAACACAAAAGTCGGTTTGTTTTGTAAATTTTTACGAAAAGAATTTCGCTTGATCGTAATTGACGATTATCACAGGTGTGAACAAATCCTACGTACGTACGTATCAGGTATATATTTTTAAATTAGACAAAATTGAATACACAAGTCCGATGACGGAGTTTCCTGTGAAAAATAAAATCTGCACTCACACCCCTTCACAATGCAATATGATAACCAATCAATTGTAAGATTTTGTGGAGTAACGCCATGAAATCGTTGCATAACCATACACTTCGTTGCACTCCATTTCTGGCATTTTTTTTATACCATTTAATAAATTTTCACCGATTGCAAAGTAATGTACGTACGTTATTTTTAAACTTTCGATTAATATGTCACTTTCGAAGCGACGTAAATTGGAAAATGACGACCATTTTCACAGAGAAGTCTCAGGGACGTAATTATAAAATCCTTGTTGCTAATTAAGGTTAGAAAGAAAAATAAGTAAGAAATAGATATGCGTACGAAAAGCATTGCACGCATGAGATATAATATAATTTGGAATACATCTGGCTAGTCACGCCAGATTTCAAATTTTATTGATCTTTATTGAGAATGTGCAGCATACATCAGTGCAATTGATGTATAAACCGAGACGTGCGATGCTCCCAGAAATAGCAAATATAATTGCGCCGGGTATCGCCGCCTGGTTGAATCGCGATGCGTAGCATCAGCCGGTGGTCTCCCACACTGCATAAAGCAGGCCGGCCTCTATTATTATTATTTGGATGCATCTAGCTAGCAGCGCCAGATATTAAACCTTATTGAATGCTCTTTATTGAGAGTGAGCAGCATACGTCAGTGCGATGCGTGGCATCAGCTGGTGGTTTCCCACACTGCATAAAGCAGGCTAGCTTTGATAAGAGGTTTAAGCTACCATGAAATGGCAGATTCTACATAGATTCAATGTAGATTCACATGGGTGGGAGGGTTTGGGTGCGAATTTGCTTCTAGCAAAGATGGCTGTGGGTCTACACGTAATGTGTGTATTCTTATATTTGAGCCAGACAATGAAGATATTGTTAGTACGTATTCCATTGCAGTTATAAATTAGGCAACCAATTCAAATCTACTTATCTGACCCATTTCTGATTGGGATTAAAGGCTGATTCAGGTTTAACTGGATTGCCTCGGCATATCCCTGCTTAGCCATCTTTTTGATCTGTTGACTTACTGCGTAAGTCAACTTGAATGATCATTTATTTTTAAAATTAATAAGGAAATGATAATCAAATAAGTGAGATATATCGGTATCATATAGCGGTTAACTATGCAAACTAGGTAGCTGCGCGACATCATCGCGCGAGACCAGGAACGGAAGATTTAAAGAAATATGTAGTTTATTTTTAATTTAATTAGTAATACAAAAGAATAGTAATTTAATTATTATTAATTACTGAGTACCAACTCATAGCATTTAGATTGGAAAAGAATATCACTTTAAATTACCAACAATTGTGTAGAAAGAAACATTGTCATTTAATGCATATTGATCGAACAAAATAAAATTAAAACCCATTACGAAGTTACTAATTTTCCCTGCCACCTCTGATTGGTTCTACTAATTATCACATATCGAAGTATCTGTGTTAGTTAATTTTATAATTATCCGATAGAGAAGTGGTGGGGGAAATTAGGACCCTAGATTATTACATGATACTGTAGTTAAAATTGTACGATTCTTATTTACAAAAATGAAATCCAAATTTGTAAATTTTTAATTTTAAAATCTGATTGATTCTTACCCAACAAAGCTAATCTTAATTTTTTTTTTAAATGCATTAAAGATAAATTAGCAAATTGAAGATAGATTTATTTTTTAGAACATAATATTATTAGTTATATAAGAAGGGACGAGTTCATATTGGGTCAGAGACTAGTTCAGAAATGGTCTAAAAATGATTCAGATAATCAATTCTAAGATTGGATTATTGTTTTAAAAGGTCACCAATCGGATTATTAATAATCATAATTATTAGATACTATAACTAGTAAAGAATTTGATCTCAAATTAACAATCGCATATTGTACGAAGGAACACGTTATTAAATATACACTGATCGAATATGATAAAATTAATTTTTGAATTATATGACAGTAAAATTATATGATTCTTATTTACAAAAAAACAAATACGGTAAATATGTAATTATTTTATATTATTCTTATCCAACAAATCTAATCATATTTGCATGTAATTTTTTTAATACTTTGGATTGCTTGTTTACCTCCACACATAAAATAAATGAGTAAATTGAAAAAAGAATGGGTTATTTCTAGAATTCATAATATTATCAGGTATAATAATAATGCGTTACAATAAACAAGATTAGATCAGATCTGGGACTCGTTTAAAACCAGTGTAAAAACTAGTTCAATTTAGATAATCAATCGAAAGATTGCATTCTTGCTTTAAAAATTACCAATCTGATTATTACTAATGATATTATTAGATCTTTCAATTAGAATAGTACTTTATGCAACAAATGCCGTAAATGTTTTTTTAGATGATTTTTCTTTACGCTCAGTAAGGTTCAAATTTGGATAAACTGATTAAAATCATGCCAGTTTCTAAAAGATGCTTAAACGCTTTTTAACTAGTTCCTTTTGGGTAGCACTAGTGATATGCTATTTATATGATACCTGAATTTTTTTAGTGTATAGTTGTATAGTGTGTATAACATATGTAATATATACAATACACGTGGCATTTATAAATAAGTTAAATGTAAAATTTTGCAAGGAACAATTATTTTAGAGTATAAAATACAGTTTTATAGTCAAAATTTTGAAATAAGGATACTTTAATTATTTGTTCTAGAATATTCTAACAAATTTTTTGCATACAGTACTTTACGCGATACATCTCTAGGTAGCACTGGTAAATTGTTATATAGCTGATCATATGAATCAAAAAATTTTACAAGAAAATCAAATGACCAAAAGAATGTGTATATACAATACTCTTAAAATAACAAAACATTAGATCAACTTTGGCAAAATCCACACTTAACGATTTTTTGAGAATTGTTTATCTATTATTGTTATAAATAATAGTAGGTGGTTCAACAATCGATAATACAGAAATAGAAATCAGATCTTCGAACCAGAATTAG